CGGCAAGTCATGGGGAGGAAGCTGCCAGTAAATAGCCTCCCCTTCCTCCTCCTCACTGGACTTGTGAAGGTCCCAGTTCCACCAAAACCTGATGACCAAAATGGGTGGTGTCAGGGCTTTTAAAGCTCTCCTTGCAAAGCTGGCTCCTGGTAAACACTCTTGCCATTGCCTCTGTGGGGTGGAGTGGGCTCAGGGGTGATGCCAGGCTGGCCGTAGCCTCCTTGTCTCACACCTCTTCCTGGCCATAAAGCCTCCCCAGGACAGGGCAGGCCGTTTCTGTGGCACTAAGCTTTGGCAATAACTCGGCAACCACCAGCTCCATTCCTCCCCTCCGCCTGCTGGGGAAACCTGAAGGACCAGTTTCTGCTCCCGGATGCAATCGTCTCCCCTAGCAGCCAAAGGGCAGCAGCAGCAGGGGGTAAGCCAGGCTGGTGCAGCCCCCCCCTGCGCTCCCACTGTGCCCTGCCCCAGCTTCCCACTGCCCAGGAACCACCTGAGCTTTTGGGATCCTGGAGGAGACCCCATCCCAGCTGGTCCCCACCAGTCCCAGGACATGCTCCTGTCCATGATCCATCCCTACCACCCATGTGGATGCTACCAGGCATCTCTGCACCTTGTAACCCTTAGACTTGCTTGGTTCCCCTGAACTGGCACCTCGGGGTGCCTGCCAGCACCCCAAAAGCTGACATTTGTGTCATGGGTATGTGAGGCCAAAAAGACCCTGAGGCCGCGTGGTAGCAAACAGAAACTTCCTTATTGTGCCTGGGAAGGCGTCTTGGGCTTGAGGTGCCTGAGCAGCTGATGAGGTGTGTGTGTTGGGGTGGAGGTTCCTTTTTTTCCACCTGTGACAGGGTGGGGAAAAAGAAGAGGCTAAGGTCTCCCTGGCAGGGACTGCAGACAGCGGGCAGTGCCCTGATGCCTGCCTGACCCTGGGTCACTCCTGGCCATGTGCTCCCTGGGAATGGGTCGTGCCACCCACGGTGGGCAATAACTCCTGTGTGGGTGCTGACCAGTGTGGCCAGCTGGTGTGGGCAGAAACCCCCTGGGCTGGGGCTCAGCAAATGAGTCTATTTGGTCCCCGTGCTCTGGGGTTTGCTCCGTACAGGGAAATGGGTGCACCAGATCCCCACCCACTGGGAGCCTTTGAGATCAGTGTTGCATCTCTGGCCTCACCTTGTTGCTGAGGTGCTACAAGTCCCCATTCAATGACGACTAGCCTGATGTCACTGTATTCCACCTCACTGGCAGCAGTCTTGAACCTTCTCCCTGCTGGAAACAGGCACTTTTGGATCCCACATGGGTAATTTGCCCCTGGCTGGGGAGCGGGGTGGCTCAAGGCTGAACTGTTCCTTCAAAGGCAATAAGGAAGGGCCAGTGTGTGTGCTGGAGGCTGGGCTGGGTGCGGTGGG